TGGTATATATGGTTGTGACTACTTTCTTCCACTATTTGATCTGAGGAAGTGGGTCTGGCCCACGAAAGCTCATCATCTAATAAACCATCTTGTTAGTCTTTAAAGTGCTACATTGTCCTGCATTTTGCTTCAGTAAATAAGCACTTCTCTTTTACCTCCAAAACATCCCCTTGCTGCCTGTTTCTATTTATATCTTCCCAACTACCTCATTAGCCTCCCTGCCCAGCGTTTTTTGCTCTATATGCCTGGTTGGGCACCTATCATGGACCTGCCTCTCCTGGTACCACATCTTTGCAAGGTAACACATGGGGAAAGGGTGGGTTATGTAGGTTTACCCCCCATCCCACCTCAGTTTTCTGACAGGGTTCACATCAGAACATGACCCGCAGCATCCTTTTGGCACTATGCAGGAAAGGAAGGGATGGAAGCTGCTTTCAGCTACAGGGGAGGAGGAGGTGGGGAAGGGATGACCTGGCTCATGTCTTTACAGCACTCATCTCTTACTCCTCCAGCCAAGACCACCTCCCAAAAACCTCCTGTGGCTGAAAGCAGCTCCCCTCTCTTCCTGATGATACAGTGTGAAAAGGCAGCTAACCCCTCCAGCATGGATGGTGGATGAACTCCTGGCTTGGGGAGACAGCCCTCAGCTCCACCTCTTCCACCCAAAGCCCTGCCCCTTCCATACCCAATGGCCCCAACCCCTCCTCCCATTGTGGCTGCTGGCCTTGGAGCCCAGGGTTGCCAGGCAGCACAGCCCCAGACCCCCAGCTCCAGAGTGCTGGAGAGCCAGGTGAGCAGCACAACCTCAGACTCCCTGGGCTGCAATGCAGTGCCTGGTTGCTCCCCCTGCCCATGAAGTCCCTCCCCACCCAAGCCGTCAGCCCCAGCACTGCGCAGGCAGTGGACCCAAGGGCACATGCACCACAGTCCCAATCTGCCTGCCCTCACCTCAGGGAACAGGCAGGAGAGCCTAAAGGTAGAGCATGACCTGATGATGCCACAGACAACCCAGTCACCTCTTGTTCCCTGGCTACAGTGAGGGCAAGAAGGAGTTAAGCCTGAAGGCTCTATTGTCTACTTCAGGGATCAGGGAACTGGATTGCAGGGGCTTCAGCGTACCCAAGTGACTCGGAAAGGGGGAGCTAGTGGACAGAGCACCCCGGGCTCCCTTGGGACAGGATGGAATGTGGGGGGAGAGGGGCAGGTGAAAGGAGGGTGCTAAGCACCTGCCTGAGGGGCTGCTGTGGAGCCTGCCTATTTGAGGAGCAAGCAGGATGGAAATCGCTTTCCCACTACGACTCTAGAGCTTAGCTGAGAGGTGGACAGGATCCTCCAGATCCTCCATGTCAGGGCTGTGTGTGGATTTGGCACATGTAGGGCTTGACTTCTCCTGCCCAGTGCCCAGGGGGGAGGGTTCTGGGCTTTTGGGGGGCACCGGCTCCCAGCCAGAGGCAGTGAGAGGGAGGAAGAAGCCTCCAGCCAGGCTCTTGGTGAGCTGAGCCCTCTGACCAAGGGCTGGTTCTGTGCACAGTGGGAGCGGGACGTGCCCTGCCAGGGGAGATACAGACGAGTAGTGGGATGGGAGAGACAGGTGAAGGGGCAAAGCAGTGAGACTACAGCAATGTTCCCGACTTGCTGCCTACACCGTTCTGCTTACAGCCCCAGCACCGTGTGTGATTCCAGGAGAATCTCCGCTTTCATTTAAATGGTTGCAGAGTAAAGCGGAGCCCGTAACTGGAGCGTACCCCGCTAGCAGGGAAACCCGAAAGCAACGGCGGATGGGAGAGACAGGTGAAGGGGCAAAGCAGTGAGACTACAGCAATGTTCCCGACTTGCTGCCTACACCGTTCTGCTTACAGCCCCAGCACCGTGTGTGATTCCAGGAGAATCTCCGCTTTCATTTAAATGGTTGCAGAGTAAAGCGGAGCCCGTAACTGGAGCGTACCCCGCTAGCAGGGAAACCCGAAAGCAACGGCGCCTGCCCCACGCCAGACCCCCATGATTGCTGGGGCTGGCAACCCTGGAGATAGGGCCTGACAATGCAGCTTCCATAGAGCTCACAGCCCCCACTCCCCAG